TTAAAAAAACCTCCCAACAAACAGATAATTTAAATCTTACATTATTCACTAACACATGAACTGAAATGAACTGAACTTATATAGACACACACACGTCTGTTTTTTATATCCCTGCGGGGACCGTGACCCTTACCATTTACCCTCAGATTAACCTGACAGGTACCTGACCCTGAGCCCCAATTTACACAGCCTCAGCTCCGCTCCGACACAGAGGAGGGGGGGTGTCGGTGGCGTGGGCAGGAAGCAGATCACGCGATAAATCCAGTGATAAATGTGGAAGTCACAGCAAAAAATCATTAATTCTGTGAAAGACGAACTCCAAACAGCTGAAAACAACAATATAAAGACTTCTGGTATCTATGTTGAAACTGTCTCACTGTCGTCTTTCTGAAACGTCTGATTTCAAAATAAAATCCACGTGTATCATGTGTGTACACATGTGCTTCATGCTACATGTTTCTATCTGCTTCCCAAACAGAACCATACATTCTGACAGCATTTCTGTAGAAATATATCCATATATTTATTAATATATCTGCAATTTCAACATTATTCCAACAAATTATTCACAGAATAGTATCTTATTTTGAAAATACGGATGTTGTGCTCGTTTCTCTTCCTGTTGGTGCGACGTAATCTTTAAAAACTGACTCTGGTGCTGCTCCGGAGTCGGGCTGAAATAGGATCTGTTCTAATTTTGACAAATCACCGTCCGCTCACCACCGCCCTGCACAGCCAGTGTAAACACTGTCACTGGTTATAATGGTTATAATGGGTGTGTGTTTGTTGTGGAGGTTGGAGCGGAGCGGAGATGGAACGCATGTAGTGTAAATTAGGGGTAAAACTAACCTAAACCCACACCCATAATATATCAGTCACACTATTGACATCACTCTTTCTTCTGTTCATTTTTCAGCATCTAACTCACTCCACTTTTTTTTGCCATTTCAACAATTCATAAATCATAACGTTCAGCTCACTTATACCAAGAGTACTATGACTTTTGGTATTTCAGGTATTTTTACTTTTTCAGCCTCTTTTTCTCACTGAAATGAATGGAGCTGTTTCCATCATCCTTTATAATGTTTATAAACCTTCACAGCACCTTACTCATCTTGTTCTGGTTCTACTCTTTCTCTTCTGCTCATTTTAGCTTTTTTCTGCTATTTCAGGTAAAACTCTACGTCTTTCTGCTACTCTTCTGATGTTTTCTGTTTTTCTGCTAATTTGTGCTATTTATGCTTCTTACAGATGTTTTCAGCTCTGTTCAGCCATTTTAGCCGTTTTCTGTTGTTTTCAACTAGATTTGTGCTAATTTTGACTGTTTTTCTGCAAAGTTGGGCTTTTTTTCTTACATTTTATCAAAGTGAGCTCACATTAATCTTGCTATTAAATATTTTCAGCTCAGTTTCAGCAGCTTTCAGCTGAAGTTTTCAGCATGAAGCATTCACACTGGCATTTTCGCAGGAAATGCAATTTCTCTAGTTTGCATTTGTATCTGTGGGGACCGGGAACTGGTCCACACAAGGCTGCTTTTTCACACATGTATAGTAGTAAGCTCCAGCCACAGCTGCACACTGACAGAGGTGTTTGGCCCAAGGACACAACAACTGAGACAGCTGGAACAAGGGGATAGAACCCACAACCCACAGGTTACAGGATGACTCCTCTAACCACTCTGCAGAAGAAGCATGAGGACATGTGGCAACACATTTATTCACATGGAGACTGAGGAAAGTTACATTAGTCTGTTGGGACTTGTTGTCTTCTGTGTTTTCATACTGAAACGTGTTTGAGCCTGATGCTAACATGAGGCAGAGCTCTGAGTGAAGGTCAGGGTGTTTCATGTTCAGTCAATAATACAAGTTTACACTAGAGTTAAACTTTAAAACTCACACACACACACACACACACACACACACACACACACACACACACACACACACACACACACACACACACACACAC